ATTATAAGCTACAAATCCATGATAATACCTTTATCACTAATCACAGAACTCATAATTTAATTCTAACAATCCATCTATTTCTTATATCAGTCATCTGAGCCATATTCATTTACCGAATTTTTATTGTATTCGAATCGTGTGTAGAACTTCATTAATTACACATATGAGACCAAAACATTTCCATTCATGCATTTACCAATACCAACATGTTCCATAAAGCATGAAAAGGTAGTAATGTATTACCTCGATTTTCGTGCCATATTGCTCGACCATTTAAATTAAATTTAAACACCCTCGATCTTGAAATCAACTTTCAATAATTCCTCATATACATATTAACAGAAATTTTATAAAAAACAGAGCTTAATTCCGAAAAATGGATCAAATCGGGTGATTAATTAGTGAAAAACAACTTATCGAGTTCGAATTTAGTGAAACGAACTTCGAAATCGAACTCAGGACATCAACAAAACCCAAAATATTACTCTTAAATTTCAGCTCACCAACTTGATTTGTAGCTTCAAATCTTTTTCTAACGAACACAGACAATTTATCGAACAAATACGTCTTCAATTAATTTTCCTCGCCATAAAAAAATAACTTATTAGAATCTAATTAATAATTTGGGGACCCTATTGTTAACACTAGAAACTTTAGGAGTCAATATAATTTTTAATTACTAAAACTAGGGACTAAATCGATCTTAATAAAACTATAATGTCATAATCATAACAATATGAAAGCTAAGAGTCAAGGTTGAGCTTTTAACACTTGGATGTCTTACCTTGTAATTTCCCCCTTTTTACTTTATCAACTAAAACCCATGTGATCTTACCCATAATATATTTCAAGTAACTTTTTTTAAAGCACTATTCGACCAGTGCATATTCTTATGCGGTAGCAGACACCATCTCAGGCGTTTGTAAAGGCCAACTTCGATACCCGTTATGTTCCTTAGCGTATATGGCGGAAGGTAGAGCGGTCGTTGATGCCGTTATCATTGCTGCAGAGCTGGAAATTGAAGCGTCAGACTTAATATTTTCAAGCATGCGCGTTAAGATTGGTTCCCTGTTCTGCAAATATGAAGGCTCACTTTCTAGTCGTTGAGTCGTTGGTTGGTTCGATGGTTGGAAGAAGCTCCTCCAAGAGTAGAAGATCAAGCGTCGAAGGATCATCAATGGCTCGACCCGCCTAGATAATTGTTGGAAGCATTTGTTCTGGTGCTCGTACAGGTTCTGGTTTTTGTTTTGCTCCTTTCTATTGTTCGTTTCATGGTTCTTCTTCTCTGGTGCAAGGAGTTTGAATGGCCGACAGTCTGGTTTTGCTTGTGTTTAATTTATGGGTATGTATTATAGCCAACTAGTTTCTACTTGTGGTTCTCTATTTTCCATATTATAAAAATAATAATAATAATCAACTTCACATCATTTCCATTATTTTATTTTTCTTTTGTCAACAAATCCAACTGTGAATCAACAAGCATGAAATGATATAACATTTCTTCTAAGCTGGAAAGCAATGGATTCCAACCTTGTCTGCAATACCATTATCCTTACTTAAAAAATATATATAACTTATTGAGTGGCCCTCAATTTGATTAATAAAATAATAATATGCTAAAACAATTATTTAAATGGATTGACTTAGTTTCACAGCAAATGAGTCATCTGTAATAAAAGGGGTTATCTCCAAGCGTATTACAGTATAGCTCAAGGAGAGAAGGGCTATCTGTCAAAAACAACCTTCGAGTTCGATTCCATTCAGCTCAAGGCCATATCAAATTTAAAGCATAGCTCAAGGCGAGAAGGGCTATTTGTCAACAAAAACCTTCGAGTTCGATTCCATTCAGCTCAAGGCCATATCAAATTTATAACATAGCTCAAGGCGAGAAGGGCTATTTGTCAACAAAAATCTTCGAGTTCAATTCCATTCAGCTAAAGGGCTTATCAAAATTTACAGCATAGCTTAAGGCGAGAAGGGTTATCTGTCAACAAAAACCTTTGAGTTCGATTCCATTCAGCTCAAGGGCATATCAAATTTACAGCATAGCACAAGGCGACAATTGCTATCTGTCCACAAAAACCTTCAAGTTCAATTCCATTCAGCTCTATGACAGCGAGGAACTACTTTCCTGTTAAAGTTTAAGCCGATGTCTTTAAGTCAAGAGGAAAATCTGGGGCAATCTCTCAGTTTAGTATAACATAACTCAAGGCGAGAAGGGTTATCTGTCAGTGAAAACTTTCGAGTTTGATTCCATTCAGCTCGAAAGCCTATCAACCACATGGTAGTATCGAGGAACTACTTTCCAGTCGAATTTTCAAAATGAGGTCTTTAAACCGAGGAGAAGACTAAGGTCGATTACAATTTGGCAACAAGAAGTCACTTTCCGATTTAGATTCTGAACTACGGTTTCAATTTCATGAATAAGTATATCATTTCAAGACTAACTCAACTTCACGACGGAGGAATCATCCATGAATCAATTTAACAGGGAGTTATTCTTAATTGCAATATTAGAGTCAATTTTCAACTCCACAATGGAAGATATTAGACTCAGGAACCCCTTCATACCGAACAAAAATTTGTGTCCTTTTATCTTTGTCCTATTTTTCGTTACACGAAATAGGACAAATAGGGGCAATTGTACACACTCATTTTCGTCCGGAGCTTTTTTTATTTTATTTATAATAATATCGTATATTTTTTTAAAGATTTTCTTGAAACATCGGTTTTTGAAATATATATAATATATAGTTTTTGAAAACATTTTAAAAAACATATATAATATATAGTTTTTGAAAACATTTTGAAAACTTATATATTATATAGTTTTGAAAATATTTTTGAAAATATATATAATATATAGTTTTTAAAAATATCTTGAAAATATATATAATATATAGTTTTGAAAATATTTTTGAAATATATAAAATATATAGTTTTAAAATATTTTTGAAAATATATATTATATAGTTTTAAAAACAGTTTTTAAAAATATATATTTTATATGGTTTTGAAAACATTTAAAAAAACATATATGATATATAGTTTTAAAAATGCTTTTTATTTTATTTTATATTAATATTTTTTATATTTATTATTTTATTAATATTTTCCCTTCTTTTTTCTGTTTATTCATGGTCCAATGAAGAGTCCAAATAGTTCACTGAAGTCGGTTTTGGGCCTGATCCAGCCCAGTAAATGTTATGGTTTGTGAACACTAAAATAATATCATCTGGCACCACAAGGGAGTTATCATCGGGCGCGTAAGGCCACACGCCGGTGTTAAACCAGCCGTTTCGGAACCAAATAGAGGAACACGAAGGGAAACAACCCCTACTTTTAGCAATAACATCCAGACTAATTTGGGACTGACTTATCCCGTTTTAGCCGGTCAAACAAGCAACGGATCGAAAATAACGGGAACAACCCGTTGAGGGTGGAAACAAACTACAGGCGGTGGGGTATAAATACCCCCACCAAATCTGTCACAAAGGGGACACAAAAACAGAGCCGAAACATCAAAACCACAACAACATCGAACCACAAATGAAGCAAACAAACCAAAAAAACAAATCATTTCGAAACACACAAAGGTGCAAAGCAAAGAAAAAAATCATAAAAAATAGAGCATCGTTCAACCAAAGGGTCCTCGGAGAAGAAGGACCCACCAGAAGTCGAACAGTCCGCAGGGACAGGTAAAAATCGAGGAACTAAAACTTAGATCTACGTCGATTTGTAGGGATTTGGGTTTTGGTTTCGGATTCCTAAGGTTGAGGGCTTTCGAAAGGGGTAAGTTTTGATTTTTTCGGCCACCAGAGGAGGTGGCCAGAGCGACGACGGGCAGCGGATTTGTCACCGACAGGTGGTTGGTTTTCGGTCGGTTAGGGGAATGTTCGAGAGAGTTTTTGAGATGAAGGGAGTTTCTTTTTTGGGTAAAAATTATATATTTCGGTTTTGGGCTATTTATAGGGGAGAGACCACTGTGTAATTAACTAATAGTTAAATTATTTCCACAGTCCCTCATATTTTGAAGTGTAATTCATTTTGGTCACCTGTTTTAATTTTGCCTCTGAATTTTCAATTTATTCAATTTAATCCCTATTTACATTTCGTATATTTTGTAAATTGGTCCCCTAACTTTTTATTTTTCTCTTGCAGCCCATTTTTAGCATCAATTCGGTATGTAAATTTTAATTCGTTCCTATTTGATCATTTATATATTTTTTAGTTTTTTTAAGAATAAAAAATAGTTATTATTTTTCCCTAAATGTTTTTTTCTTTCCTTTTTATTTTATTTTTGAAATTTAACATTTTTTACTCTTTTTATAATTTATTTTATTTATTTCCTTGAAATTTTATTTTCTTCATTGTTTTTTCATTTTTTCTTTAAACTTGATTTTGTATTTTTAAAAAAAAGTTTTTATTTTTTTATTTCATGTTTATTTATTTATTTATTTATTTTTACAATCTGACATTCTTTTTGACCTTTTTTCCAACAAATCACGAGTAAATAATTTGAATCAAGTTTTTTGAATTTTAATTTTAATTTCAATTTTTCGTAATTAAGACAACCGACAAATTAAATGGTGCCGAAAGGACAGTTTAAGGGTACTAATCCTTCATTAATTGTAACCGACTCCCGAATCCGACGTATTTCTGGTAAAATATATATCAGGTAAGATGGTGTCCGATAAACGTAAATATTTTTAAAATGATCGATGGTGACTCTAATATTTTTATTCAAGTCGAAACTCAATTTCGGGCCCACCCAAAAGGAAGATGCGACATAATTAAGAATCATCAAGATTTGAACTTTTGAAACTTCTTAAAGAATCTAGTATCTCATCCCACTAAACCAATAAATTATAAATATGAGTGTATATAAGGATGATAATTTGATTTTAATAAAGATTTTTGTAGATATGGGTGTTGATAGGATGATAATTTGAATTGTATTCAACCGGTTTTTCTTTATTTTTAGAGACTTCAGAGGGGAAACAGAAGTAAAACTCAACAAATAACTATATGCCAAAACTTTATTTTTCCCGATTCCAGATGATGTTCCGAATCGATTACAACCGAGATCAATTTGCTGCCACTAAAACATTGAGCCAAAACAACCCAGAGATCATGTACTTAAGATATAGGATAAATGCGAAAGCAAATGAATTCGGCGCAGAGGCACGACAAGCATGGCCTATAATGCATAAGTAATGCACATATTATTCCAACCTAAAAAACCCTCAAGGTACAATTCAGTCATTGAAAAATCTTATACCAAAAGAAGGATTTAAAAGAAGACATAAAATACTAATAGAACTTTTAAAGAATAACATGTGATCCTCACAAAGAAATTCTGAGATTTTCTACATCAACAATATTTACATTCTTTTAAAAACCTAGCACTCAACAAAAGGCTTCAAAATTACGCGTGATAGAAAATTACCATCATGGTGCAGCACCAGCTCTCTGGGACCTTCTCCTTTCGTACTCGGCATCGTCGGTGGGCAACTCGTGACGGCAAACCGGGCAGGTATTCCTTATCCCAAGCCAGGGCGTTATACAATCTCCATGGTAGCGATGTGCACATGGCAGCTGCTTCATCGTTTCACCTAGGTTAATCTCATCCTTACAAATTGCGCATAGTGCATTATTGTTCATCAAATCCTCTTGAGTTGCAACCGAAGAAGGAAGATTCTCAACCACGGATTTTGAAGCCGGAGGCCTCCCGATAAATGCATTCTCATTCTCAGCAAGCTGTCCAAACAACATTTCGTATTCTCCATTATAAATATAGTCCTCACGGTCAGCAAAAAATGGCTCGTCGTTTTCATCCATATCTTGGTTTGTCTCCAAATTATTTGTGTTGAACAAAACCTCCCACCCCAAAGTCCCCATCCCAACTGCCCTCTCAAAGTTAACTGCATATCCAGGTGCTATAACCGGGGAAATTGAAAGTGAAACCGAAATCTCATCATCATCGCCAGCATCAGCTAACCCGCTTAAAACCTCCCTCTCATCAACTCTACCATCCACTTCCTCCCATTCGAAATCTTCAAGGGTTTCCCTATGATCCTCCAACTGAAGCGAATCCCAACGAAGTGAAATACTAACACTCACATCGTCATCGTCAACATCGTAACATTCATTAACATGATCATCAATTCCATATTCATCCCCAGAATTCAATTCGGTAGTCAAGATCCGATTATCAATTTCATCCTCCGAATCAGAGTTAAACCCAGTCCTCCGAATACCATTCCCAAACCTTTCAAAACAATTAAAATTAGATGTAGCCTCACTGGCACTCAACCCAGAAACCCTCCTTTCGACGAAAAAATCATCACCGTCGTCATCATCTCCACCACGGATTTCGATCTCGTTACCATCCATGGAATCAAACCCTAACTCTAACCCTAAATCTAGATAATGATTCCCCTCAATAGCACCGAAACCTGATTCGGTTAAAGCATCAGAAAACAAATCAACGGCATTGATTTCATCATCATAGCTAATGTTAGTGCGAATAATAATGTTAGTAGGGTTGGAATCGGAAAGGACCTGAGATTGGTCAACGCGTTGGTGGAAGAGATCGATGACGATATTGACTTGGTTCTCGCGGCGGTCGAAGAGGTCGGGGCCGTTGAAGATAAGGGAAACGTCGTCGTCTTGAAGAGGGAAATCAGGGTCGGAGGAGAAGTGGAAATCGTGAGACCAATAAAGGAGGGAAGATGGGGTTTGGTGATCGACGTCGTCTTCTGGGTCGTGAAGGTGAATGAAAGAAACCTCTGAAGCCATTGTTCTTAAAAAAAAAAGGAAGGACGGCAGTGAAAAGGACAGGGAAGGAAAGGCAGAGATTAAGCTGAGAACAATATATAAAAGAGTAAATTACATCATTCCTCTAAATTATTTTATTATAATTTTCTTGATGTGGTATTTTTTTATTTCATATAAAATAATTTGAAATATAAAATAAAAATAGAATATGACTAGAAACCACTGTCGGCCACCATCGACTGTCGTGGATTATGATCGTTCGGTCTCAAATTTCATAGGTCGTTTTACCTCGACACCGTGAGTCTGAATCCGAGCTCCATTTTGTCGAAACTTGCTCTGAAATTCATGAATTAGAGATTGAAAGTGAGGAAGTTGGAACGTTTTAGTTGAGATTCACAGGTTTTGAAATATTTTTCGGTGAAACAACCACCAAATTCGGATTCAGGGGGTCGAAACGAACTGACCCATGAAATTTGAGACTGAAAAACCATCATCTACACTGGTCGACGATGGCCGACGGTGGTTGGTTGTGGCGTCTGACCACCTTTTGTGTTTATTTTATATTTTCAATTATTTTATATTAAATAATAATAAATATCACGTCATACGAAATTAATAATAAAATAATTCAGAGTGATCAAAACAAGATCAATTCAAAAGTTTAGAGAGTAAATTAGAAAAATTGAGAGTATGGTGCGTAAAATAGGAGAGAGAATATAATAAGTGATGAATGATATTTACCCTATATAAAAAATAAAGTATTAGTGAGGATTACACTGAGTTGCTTTATTGAGTTTATTAACTATTAAAAATTATAAAAAAAAATTTTAATTATAAGATATTATTTTGTTAATTATAACCATTAAAAGTTATAAAATGATCACTCGACTATTTATATGTTCCAAATTCGTCCTTTTCTGTTAAAAATTTAATGATCGTTTGAGTTGGATGTTAACATGTTGACTAAGATATGATAAAATCATATCCAATAACTGTTTTACTTGTATTTTAGATCAAATCTTCGTTTATGTTATGTCGTCAAGTAATTACTTGAATCATTATATTATTGAGACAATGCTTAAAAGCAACGACAGTGCCAATAGATATCATTAAAATATGATTTTATGATATCATACTCAGCAGGTTAACAACCAACTCATATGATCATCATTTTGTTAATGGAAAACGATGAGTTTGGAACATATGAATAGTCAATTGATCATTTTGTAACTTTTAATAGTCGGGGACTCAACAAAATGAAGTCTTATAGTCGATGGACTATTTTGTAACTTTTAATAATCAGAGGACTCAACAAAACAACACATATAGTTGGGGGAAAATTTTTATACTTTATCCTAAAAAATATTATTTGATACACGATAAAATTTATTTTATGTTTATTTTAATAATAAATCTTAAAAATCATTTATATTTTTGTCAGATTGGATGAATATTTTTACCTTAAAATCAAATCGGAAAAGGTTTTGTAAATTAAAGTCGAATCGAATGACGAGTGAAAGAATGTTATACTTAGATTTGGATAGGTCTATCATTGACTCGACCTAACACATTACCGGAAAAATTAACTCAATATTATGGGTGGATAAATTATTAGGCCCAATAGGACACCTAGAAATTTATTTTGCAGCTACGACATTTGCTACATTATAGTTTTCCTGGAAATAATTATTAATAGACCCAGGTATGTGTATAACACCCTGAATTTTGGGTTAGTGATTTTAGGTAAATCAGAGTGGGTTTTAATAATCCAAGTGTCCATTAAGAAGCTTTGGGCTGAGTTGGACTTGTTTTGGTTTGGGTTGGAGCCCATCTAACCATAAAAGGGTATTTTTTAGTTGGAAGCAAAAGAGAAAGGACCAAGGGAGTAATATACCCATTAGTTGTCTCTAAGGTTGATTTCCATTCAATTTTTGTGATGTCACCAGACTAGGAAAGTGGAAAAAGGCTGAACTTTTCTCATATCTCATTTTCTTCCAAGAGTTTATCTTCTTCCTCTTTTCAAACTTCATTTTCTTTCTTGCGGCTTGGGTAAAGATGGCATCTTTGTAATCCTTTCATTCTTATTCTGATATTGTAAGGTAAGTACTGAAATCATCACCTCTTAAGTTTTCATTCAAGTCTTTTTCTTCTTTTGGCCATAAGAGCCATAATTGAGGGTTTAGAGAGGTTTTAGAAACCATGATGAGATCAACTTATTTTATAGTGGATTTAGACTTTAGGACGTCTCCTTAACTTCTTCTTGAGTTCTTGACCTATGAAAAAAGTTAGAAAAAGCCCCAAAGGCATAGGTAAAGAGAAACATGTTCTTGGTTGAGCCTGGAGTGATTTCTTGCATCTTAGGAGTAAGGAGACACACTTCTAACTCTTCTATATCGTTTGTAGATCATCCTATGTCTTTGCTAAGCTTGTATAAGTGTATAAACCATATGAATGCATTTTTTTATTTGAACATGGTTTGGATGAAATAAAGATTATTGATACATGGAAATGACCTATTATGATCCTTTTTAATTCATAAAAGCTTCACATGATGTTCAAGGGCCTTATAGGGGTTTTAGGGTTGAGTTAAATGATAAATGCATGCAAAAACATGGTATTTATGGATTTAAGTGTTGGTACTAGATGAACAATATCGATATTGTTCGTCAAACAATTAAAACAACGGGCTTTTGATTGGGTAGTATCGATATTGTTCTTTGGGTATCAATACCAAGGGATAGGGTATCAATACCATTGCTAAGTTACAAATTCTAGTAGCCAATTGTGGTATTGGTACTTGGGTAGTATTAATATCCCATAAAGAAGAAGTATCGATAATGCAAGTAAGGGTATCAATATTGAATTATTTTCCTAAACATTGAATCCAAATTCAGTATCAACACCTAGGATAATATCAGTACCCTAAGAGAGAAGTATTGATACTCCATATAAGAGTATTAATACCATAAAGTCTTTTCACAAAATAAAATGTAAATTTGGTTTCAGTACCAAGGGTGGGTATCGATACTGAAAGGTCGATACTGATACTAAAAGGCTTAGTATCAGTACCATCGTGTTAAATTGGACAAGAAACTTGATTATTGTTTATGGGTGCGGGAAAGGGTCTAGGACTTTCGAAACTTCTCCAATAAGTTTACAATTGAGAACAACAATTAAATTCTTGATAAGCAAAAGAAATTTATGAAATAATATGCCATAAAACTCATGTCTTTGATTGACGCGCGAGAAACATGAGGGCACTTGAGTTATTTATGTAAACGATGATCGTTTTGTTTGTTAGAAATATCTAGATATATTTGAATATGTGCTAAGATACTTAATTTCTAGTCGGGTATAGGCTCTGATGCTAAGTAACCCCGGAGGCATCCTAAGTACGCTCGAGGAGTAGACTAGTAGAGCGTAGAGTGACCTAGGAGGTGTCCTAGGTTGTTGGCAACAAGGGTCCTTTTAATTGAATATTCTAATGCTAAGTGATTCGGGTCTTATCTAGGGTACCTTGGGTATGATAGAGGGTTGTGAGTCTTGAGATGCTAAATGACCCTCCGACTATACCATGGTGCCTACCATTGATTGTGTATGAATGTTCTTGTATGTTTATGACTATATATGTTCGCATTCTTATGTGATGAATGCATATAATATAATAGTGTTACTTGTGTGTCATTGAGCTTGTGAACTCAACGAATAGAATGTGTTTTTGTTCGCAGGTTCTTAGGAGGACGGATCGAGGAGTTTGTCGCCAGTTCGTGATTTCATCTTAGATCTAGCGATCAGAGTATGTCTTCGATATTTTTAATGGACATGTACTATTCATTGATCTTATATTTATCCGAGTAGTAATTTTATTTTGATATACTTATTACTTTCATTTGGGGTGTAACTTTAGAAGTTCCCTTTTTTTGTAAACTGATGGTGTTACATTTTAAATTATAATTTTTAAGTAATTATTGCAATAAACATTTTGAAAATGGTTACATATTTTGGTGGTTATGTGTTAAACCTTGGTCTTTCAAATTTCATGTTGGATCAAATTATGGTATTATATTTAGTGGTATCAGAGCGTCACATTTAGTTTTTACTATGACCCGTGGGTTAGAGTCAATAAGTGTCAGTAAGTACATGCCTCTAAAGTATCAAAAGTACTTAAATATTTGGAATGGTGATAATAACCTCTCTTTCTTTTTGAATTTAAAAGTTATAGTTAATAATTCTGCTCCTAGTAATGAAGGTCTAGAGAATAGTTGAGCTTCCCTAGTTGACGATGAGTATGTTTTAGATTTTGAGGAGTATAGAATCCTAGTAGATGTCAAAGAGGTAATTTTTTTAGATATTTAACTCTAGCCCTCAGGCATATCGTGCTCACCATTCCTAGAGCCTCAATTATTCTACATGCCCTACTCACACCACTAGCTCTTCCGGTTGTGGTACTACAAGAGTATCCAATTGAAATGATCAACTTGTGCAAGATGACAGATTTCCTTGGTACATGGGATGACAATCCTATTACCACATACCAATGGCTCAGAGAGACCATTCACTAGTTGCATCTCACCCTTGAGGGTAAGTTGGAGTGTATTACTGCCAAATTAACGAATGATGTTATAGACTAATGGGAGCTTGTAGAATTAGCCTTTGAGCTGGAATACCCTAACTATGAGTATTTTCTGTCAGAGTTTTGATAAAAATATCTTGGGAAGGCTCACATGGATGACTTGAGGATGAAGTTCTCGTAGTTGACTCAGGGTGACTGATCGGTGTTTGAGTATGAGAGGGATTTTCTCTATTTGAGTCGTTATGTACCAGAGCTTGTGGCTATTGAGTACTTGAGGTCTATGAGGTTTAGGCAGGGCCTGCACATAAATATTCACATTTACCTGGAAGGTGACCCACTAAGTATATTTGCTGAGCTTACCCCCAGGCTAAAGTGGTTGGGAAGGTCTAGGGTATTATGGTCCGTTTGATGGGTAATTTTGTGTGACAGAACCAGGGGTATTCAAAGCTAACGAGAACACACCATAATTT